TGCGTGATCTCCTGGAGACGCCTGTACACCCGGAGTGGAGGCTCCTGCTCTGGAGACTCACCCAGACCCGCAGGGGATGTTTGGTGGTATTTGTTACTGCAGAGTAGCCAAGCCTGTCCTGACTAACACAGTGTGGGATGTGTGTGTGGGTCTGGGAGGTAGTTGCCAGTCTGCAGAAGTCTAGGCTTTGACGTGTGTTGGATTTGACCTTGAATACCAGCTGCTACTTACGTGCTGTGCCCTTGGGCTAGTTACTTACCCTCTCAATCTGTTTTCTCATCTGCAAGTAATTTGCTTTACCTTAGGTTTGCTGGGAGGAGTAAATGAGATAATATATGTAAAGCACCTGGCCCAGTGCCAGGCATATGCAGCTAATAATAAATTTCATTCCTACCCAGCTAGACCTTTGATAGTCCGTTGGCATGGGGTCACCCATGTAAACGTGCAGAAGTGTTCTTTTTCTGGGGTATTTGTTTTAATAAAAAGGAAATAAATGATCACATGGTTATTTTATTTTGCCCTGTAAAAACGAGTTAAAACAAGGTATGGTTAATGTATGCCAGAGGTGTGGTGGGATGTGGTAGCCGTCTTTCCCTAAAGAAAGCTGCGGCCCAGTCCTAAGGCTGTTTTTCCCCTGTGTGAAGATGTGTGACTGGGGACCGGGCCGCCTGCCTTCCTAAATGTCCTGAGCTCCCTGTCACCTGTAACTGACTTAGGGAAGACCAATGTGGGGACTCAAGGATTTGACTCTCCCTTTATTCTTGTCTTTAAAATCAAGTTACATTCTTTTTTTTAAGCAATAAACTTTCAGAGAAAATGAGGCCTAGAGAACAGAGGTAGCGACAGCAATACGCTGACTACGGAAGCAGTATGACCCACACAGGCAGCCGTACCCAAACAGAACATAAAAATGCATGCAGTCCAGAAATGCACTTTTTCTTTTCATGACTCGACTCCATGTTTCGTTTGTATTTAAAACTGAGTTGACGAATATGAATACAGATGTTCAGAGTTATGGTAAAGTCATATTTGTTTATGTGCATGGACTGTATCTCACAGTTTAAAAGGGAGAACAGTTAATGGTTTTGCCCATACTGCTTGGAATTTTTTCTTTTTCTTTTTTTTTTTTTTAAATTATCCTCTAGCTTCCATTCTTCAGGTGTGTAGCTATTTTAGTGTTATGAAGGATGATGGATGATGCTGGAAAGTTTCTTTGGAAGCACTTCTGATACTGTGCGATGCATTTGGAGGTCAGCTACACTTGGCTGATGCATGATTTATCCCATGTCCCTGCCACTTCCCGAGATAAAGCTGCTGTTTTATCAAAAATGCCAGCAACTGTGATTTCGAATTTATAAACCTCCATTTTCAAATAATTGTTCTGATTACTCTCTGCCTTGGCAATCAAATGATAAAGGTAATTGCACACCAATGTGAGACAGCCCCAAAATGCAATAAAATTAACCTGAATTCGCTTGACTTGTCGATGGAGAAGTATTTTTGAAATGTAGCATTGCAGTCAGGGAGGGTGATATTATAGCTGGAAGGTGAGTTATTGCCTTAATGTAATACTCGAAATTTAAAAAAGAGACTGTTTCTGTTGAGGGCGATTGAGCTTTTGAAATTCAGTTGAAGTGAATCTTATAATTGGCAACAATAATGCACTTTGAAGGTAATATCTTTTATTGTGTTATGCCTAGTTGCATTACACTTATTTAGCGGTTTCTGGCTTCAGCTTTTCTAACACTCGGGTAGAAGCAGGCTTGGAATTCTGTCAGATCCAGGCGGCTCAAATGTTTTATTCTCTTTTTAGCATTGCCCCTTGTCTGAAAGTTACGGGCTTATATAAAGTATTTGACGAAATCAGTTAGCCATCAAAGGTTAAGTATTATTGTTAATTTTTTAATAAGTTTAAATAAGGTTCCTTATAAGTGTGTTTTGCTCCCCGTCTCTGCGCGTGTGTTGGGAATTTCCCACTGTAGCCTAGCGGTTTTCAGCGGCACCTGACCCGGTGTGCCATCCCCACCTCCCGCCCCTTTAGATACACATAGTTCATAACTTTCCCTTCACAGTCCTGAAGTGAAATTCATGGGTCACACCTGTCTACATATGCTCCTTAGGAAAAACGTAAAGTAAGATGTCAACAACAGGGCAGTAATTTATAAGAAAGTTTTAGGTACTCAGAACAGAAAAGCTCAGGCAGGGCTACACTAGAAGCGTGACGACATCGGCCCCCTCACAAGTGCCCTCCTGGTGGGGGGGGTCTGCACCATCACACCCCACCAGGGGCAGTGGGGACCCACATTTCCAGAAGGGGGGAGTGTCCCCGTGGGCAGTGATTGCCCCCTATGGCCCTCCACCACCATTCAGACCTCTTTTGTCCAGTCTAGGCTCGTGTGAGGGGGGGTTTTCATTTTTTTTCTTTTTTTTTCTGACTCGGTAATTTGTATGACATCCAGCAAAGACCGCGGAAGATGCTTTGGGAAAGGGCTGATTCAGGAAGTATCATCGACCTAAGCTAGCAGTGCTGCTGGTTCTGGGAGGATAACTCTGGTCTGCTGTTTTCCTAAAGAGAATGCAGAATTGGGAGCAGATATGCCTAGGGAAAATACAACTAGTGGAATTTGCCCAAAAGTACAACCGGTGGGAATATTTCCAGAAACAGTAAGTGGAATTTGGAAAATGTAAGTGAAGTAAGGGGGATTCCTGGTAGATAACGCATCTCTTGCTCTCCCTCTTCTATTTTCTAGTCCATTGATAGGCTGTATACTGTTATCTTAGCCTACTGGGCTCCCTTGGTTTAGATGAAAATGAAAACGATATCATACAAAAGGGGCTTTGTGGCTGGCCTAGCACGCATTTCTATGTCAGAATGTAGGCCTATCAAGTATCAAGCAATGTGTTGTTGTGGTTGTTGTTTTTTCCTTTTTTTTTTTTTTTTTTGCTGTACGCGGGCCTCTCACTGTTGTGGCCTCTCCCATTGCGGAGCACAGGCTCCGGACGCGCAGGCTCAGCGGCCATGGCTCACGGGCCCAGCCGCTCCGCGGCATGTGGGATCCTCCCGGACCGGGGCACGAACCCGTGTCCCCTGCATCGGCAGGCGGACTCTTAACCACTGCGCCACCAGGGAAGCCCCAAGCAATGTGTTTTAGTGTTATGTAATAAATATCATATAAAATAAAAATGGAGTATTTTGATTTCTTTAACAACCTCAGGCTGAAGTTTTGGTGCTGTAAAATTATCATGGAGCTCAGTTACACAATGGTTCTTGGTCTTAATGTGGGCATATTTAAGCTGATCGTTTGTTCATTTATTTATTGAGGTATAATTGACATACAACATTGTATTCGTTTCAGGTGTACAACATAATGGCTCGGTACTGGTATATATTGCACAACGATCACCACAGTTAAGTCTAGTTAACACCTGTCACCGTAGTCTTTTATTTCTTTAAACATGGCTGAGTTGCTTGCTGTCTGTGGCTGGTGGATCCATTCTCTCAGCTGCTGCTGTCTGGGTTTTGCTTGCTCTTGCTTGTGGTGTCGCGTTTCCCTGCGTGCCTGGTTCTTCGATTGTACTGGACGTTACGTTGGAAAAATTTCTCCATGATTTGCTCTTAAGAGTGACGTGGAGCCTGAGGGGCTTCCCAGGGGCAGCGCTGACTACACCAGGGGCCTGGGATCGCTCACGTGGCTGGGACCTGAGCTCTGCCTCACCTCGCTGTGGGCTTGGGCTCAGAATCCCTAGCTGTGGGCGGTGTCCCCTCATTAGACCACTGGTTCTAACTGGGGGCGATTTTGCACCCCCAGCCCGGGACGTTTGCCACTGGAGGCGTGTCTGGTTGTCACAGCCGAGGAGGCGCTGCTGCATGCAGTGGGTGAGGACAGGGCTGCAGGTAGACGTCCCACCGCACGCGGGCCACCCTGCCGCAGGTCTGTCCCCAGTGTCAGTAGTGCCACGCCGGCACCATTCACGGAGCCTCTGAATAACGTTTTTTGTTCTTCTGGCCTGAGGTCTTTTTTTCGTTTAAATTGACACACAGTTGATTTACAGTATTGTATTAATTTCAGGTGTACAGCATAGCGATTCAGTCCTTTTACAGACTATACTCCACTGCAGGTTGTTACTGGATAAGGGCTGTGAACAGCATGTTTAAAGCCCAGCTGGTTCCCGTCTGCCCCTGCGTCTTCCTCACTACCCACCCTGTTGTCATCAGTGGCTTCCTGTGCCCTCGCGCAGGATTCTTGTGGGGCTACCTCGGTCTCCTTCCTTTCCTGATCCCCCCTCCCCGGCCCAGCAGCGTGTCCCAGCGTGGTGGGTGGGTTTTCTGGGAATCCCCTGCCCCTCCGTTCCCTCCTCAGCAACGCACTGAGGGCGGGTGAATCTCGGAGCACCCGGGTGGCACCGAGTCTCCCCCTCACTGCTTCCTGGACATCCAGCCCCAGTCGTCATGCTGCTCCAAGGGCCTCGGCCAGCCCTGCCCTTCCCTCACTCATCTGCTGCACTCGCCATCTCTGTAACTCCGTGCTCCGTGTTTTCTTTTCCCTGTGTCTTTGCACACCCTTTCGCTTCCACTCACAAATACCTTCTTAATCGACCCCTTCCGAATTCCTACCCGTCCTTCAAAGCTCTCCCGTAAAGATTTTCCTGGTCCTTGAACTTGTTCTGTTAGTTTGTGATGTACAGCAAAGTGAATCAGGTGTACGTATACATATATCCCCTCTTTTTTAGATTCTCTAGCAGCCTCACGTGCTGTGTCTTCACTTGGTTGTGTTTGCTGGTGTTTTGATTGTGTTAGTTACCTGGCAGATGGGGAAACCTTTAAGGCCCCGGAAGTAAATACGGATCTGCTTTCAGTACATTTTATCTGTTAAGTTGCAGCAGCCAGGAAACAGCCTCAAGCTTGTCTTTTTCTTTCACCACAGGTTTTAGGGTTTGAATCAGAGGTAAGACGTTTACTAAACGGCCGGGTTCTAGGTGGTATGTTACATCCTTTGTAGGGTGGTGACACCTCCTGTGCAGTTTTTGTTTTGGGGGAGCCTGCTGTTTCCTCTCTCAGCGACGTGGCTTTCTGTCCCAGGAGAGGCCTTCTGCTTCTCGGGGGCCGTGGGGAGCCCGGTAGCACTGAGCCTGTGTCTCTTCCCGGTGCCTGGTCACAGCCGTTTCCTCAGGACTGATTACCTCAGGGGTGGGGTTAGACACCTTGTAGGCGAAAACCCTCTTCCAGGTGACTCACCCCCGTTCAGTCCACCCCACCTTGCCTGCTTGGAGACCATCGATTTCAGGTGAGGAGGTGGGGGAAGCGTCTGCATGACCTTTAGAGGGTCTGGAGGGGGTAGTCAAACTGAGAGGTTCCCGGAGGGAGGGGGTGGGGGAGAGGTGTTGTGAGGTCTGGAAAGGTAGAAGGGAGGTGAGAGGATGCCAGGTGATCTCTGCGTAAATCATGGTGCTTACCGGGAGGTGAGCAGTACAGGTCTTACGCTCTAGAAGGAGAAGGTCCAATGGGTGCCGACCTCTCACTTGGAAAACCAGATTAAATAGACGTCTCCGGCCAGACGGCTCATCTGATTGAAGAAAGCAAAGGTAACATTTTCTGCCACAAGGAGTGTGTGTGGATATTTCTAGTTACGTATTTCAAGGAACTAATCAGTACAATGAAATTCTGTGATATCAGATTGTCCGGTTATTTCGGGAGAGTCGCTCGGGCAGGCTTTGGTTTGCGGAGGGAGGTGTGCGATTCCCACGTGAAGCCAGGACTCTTGTCTGCCACTCGGCTTTACGAGGGTTCTGTTCGCTTTTTCTTTTTGGGTTGAAGCTTTTGCCTTTCCTGTATGAGATGTTTATCATCGCTACCCCAGAGTGTCTGGAATAGATATTGCCTTAAGCTGTGGGATGAAGTTTATTCCCACGATGGTTTAATTTTTAGTGTGTCCGCATAGTGTGTATGCTCTTGTTCATGGGATACGCATGGCAGATCCTGCCCCGTGAGACCAACATGCAAAATCGCATCGTCCATGCACATCGTGTACCAGGCACTGCGCACACCTAGGACTCCCATCCTCATTTTTGTTGCCTCTTTCTCTTTTTGTTTTCCTGGCACATTTATATTTCTTTGTAGTCTTGTGTTATTATTTCTGTACAAAAAGTTGTGTTTCACCAAGTAGAAAAAATTTTTACAGTAATAGCAGTTAATTATTTTAGTTCCGGGCTTCCCTGGTGGCACAGTGGTTGAGAGTCCGCCTGCTGATGCAGGGGACACGGGTTCGTGCCCCGGTCCGGGAAGATCCCACATGCCACGGAGCGGCTGGGCCCGTGAGCCATGGCCGCTGAGCCTGCGCGTCTGGAGCCTGTGCTCCGCAACGGGAGAGGCCACAACAGTGAGAGGCCCGCGTACTGCAAAAAAATAAAAAAAAATTTTAGTTCCAAGTTGTTTAAAATTGACAGAATTACTAAATCTTCAGCTCAATTCCACTGTAGAATGATTTAGAGACACTGTAATTGCTGTTACTTTTTCTAGTTGATCCAGAGGTGACTTTAGACATGTAACTCTGCTCTGAAAGACAGTCTGTTTCTCTAATTCTTATCTGTTTGGCTTTTCCTCAGTTATGTATGATTCTGGGATGTAAAGTCTGCTTGGTTCATTGAAATCTATACGTGTAATACTTAAAATTTTTTTAAATAGAAAAAGAGCTTTTTCTGTCTACCAGCTTTTGATAAAAGTGGGACACTAAAAAGTTATTGCAGAGCAGCAGTTGAGAGGAAGAGGAGCAGAGGGTCTGTGCGCCCCAGACTGGGTGCCGTTCCCGGGGGTGTGTGTGGACAGCACCCTTGGGTGCAGGGCTGGAAGGGAGCTAGAGCCCGTGCAGGCCCCCCGGTGCACGCAGAGGGCTCCCCCACACGCACACCCCGGTGTGGCCGGGAGGCAGCCCAGGCAGCTGCCCTCAGTGGTTCTGCCCAGGGAGACCCCTTTTCCATCTCCTTGGAAGACCACAGGTGACCAAACCAGTGGCTGCCAAGTGGGGTCAGCCCAGAAAAGGAAATCTGGGTGTCATGTGCCACGGAAATGATTCCTTGGTGAATATTTTTTGGATATTTCGTAGACACTAAAATATAATACAGTTGTCAAAAATGTGGCCTTGTGGGAAACTACACATCTTAGGGAAAACGCTAAAACTGAAGTGTGAGGCTGGGTGATACATCGGAAGAGGTGGTACAAGTTCTGTGTCATTCCCCGCGGTGCCTGTTTCAGTAGCGTGAGTTGGTGGGTGCTGTCTCCCGGGGCGGGGGCACCTCCCCGATGCCTCTCGCATCCAGAACCCTCTGCTGGGCATGGGGTGGCTGTGGAAACTGGGGGGTGTGGGGTGCTGGAGCTTACTGCATCTCTGTGGGGCAGCCAGGGCAGCCCTGAGGGCGCTGCAGGACCCTGGTGCTGGTGGCCACGTGAGGACCTGGAGGTGCCCTGTGGAGAAGCATCTCAGCTGATGAAAATATGGCGGGCACCATGTATGTTGGGGAGGACACTGGAGTTGATGTGTGAGAATGGGTGAAATAGTGGGTATATTGGAAACATGGCGAACAGATCTCAAGCTCTGTCATGAATCATAGACTTGCTGGTTATTTCAGTTAGTTTAGTCATTTTATTGATCTGTATCTCATATGAGCCAGGGAAGAATTTGAGGAGGTTTACAGACATATACATAATTTTAAAAATGAAAAACATGTAAGATATAGATGAAAGCATTAGGCACAGGAAATAAGGGCAGGGAAATAAATAAAGCTGGTATTCCGAACAAGTGGCACAGCTTTTCTATAAAATGGCTCAAAACGGGCCGGATTTTAAGCAGTGAGCTTCTTAGTGGCCAGAGCAATGACGGGATCCAAATTAATTGCTGGTAAGCATCACTTAGGTTCTGACTTGACTATTCTAAGAAAACACGTGCACCTGGCTGTTTTTGAAAGCGAGATGGAGACCTTCTCCAGAGATATTTGGGGCTCGGCATGAGCAAAGAGAAGCAGACATGGTTAGCGGGAGGCTCGGTGCCCCCAGAGATGGGACTAGACACCGTTTGCACGGTTCTAAAGCTGCCTGCAGCATTGGCACCACGCGGGAGCTGGTTCAGGCAGCACCCGGGCCTGCCCCCTCCTGCCGGGTCAGCGTCTGCATCCCCCAGGCCCTGCGAATGGCTGCCCCAGAATGATCGGGTTCGTGGGGTGAATTCCTCTCCAGGGCTGCCTCTCTTTGTGGCATTTGGGTTTGGCTGTTGTCAGGTCAAGGATTTAGAGCGGGCTCTGTCCTGGGCGTGTGGCTGGTGAGAGAGGGCAGCAAATTTGATCTACTTGAGTGTCTGCTCTGCAGAGACAGTGTGCCAGGGCCTCGGGGGCGGCAGGAAGGAACAAGGCCTCCATTCTGCCTGAAGACCTCCAGAATGAGGGCAGCCAGGTGTCGGCAGCCACCCCCAAACTCCATTCACTGGAGCTGTCATTTGCTCAGTTGTCACAGTTTCACAGGTTTATGGGTTGCCTGTAGCGATGCTTATTAATGTTTTCTTTGTATCAACTTAGTTCTAATGTAAACACCTGCGTCCGCCTTGTCCTAAGGAATTCCAGTGAAGACAAGTGTTTGATACATATTCATTTTATTTTTTCTGTTACATGTTAATTTAATCCATAATTCATAAACTTGTATCTAAACGAATCTCACCCAGTTCAGCACTCTAGTCAGACAGCCCCATCCGTTACCTGTTCCACGGGGCTCTGGAAAAGTCACTTTCATGTCTTTAGCCTTGTGTTTTTCATCAGAGAAATGGATGTGCCTAATTCACAGGGCTCTTGTAAAGATTAGAGAAGAAGCATACGGAGAGCCTGGCACACAGGAAATGCAGGAATGGTCAGGAAACGACTCGTCCTGTTATTAGATTGCGTTGTGGGTCAGTAATGCAAAAAGAAAAGAAGTTGAATTATAGTCTGTACACTTCTCAGTGTCCTAAATGGAAGAAGTATGTTTGATAACTTTTATAACAAGCATTGGCGAGAATGTGGAGAAATCAGAACCCTTGTGCATTCATTGTTGGTGGGATTGTACTGGGGCAGCCGCTGTGGAAAACAGTATGGTGGCTCCTCACAAAGTTAAACATAGAATTACCATGTGATCCAGCAGTTCCACTCCTAGGCATAGACCCAAAAGAACTGAAAGTAAGGACTCGAACTGTTATTTGTACACCGGTGTTCATAGCAGCATCATTCAGCATAGTCACACATTGGAAACGACCCAGATGTCCATCGAGGAATGAACAAATAAACCTCAGAATATGGTCCATCTATACAATGGGATGTTACTCAGCCTTAAAAAGGAAGGAAAGTCTGGCCCAGGGTACAGCATGGATGAATGTTTTAGACATTACGCTCAGTGAAACAAGCCAGATACAAGAGGACAAGTACTGTGTGATTCCGCCTGTATGAGGTGCCTACAGTAGTCAGATTCACAGAGATGAAAGTGTGGTGGTTTCCAGGGGCTGGGGGAGAGGAGAGGGGACGTGGTGTTGAGCGGGTACAGAGTTTCTGTTGCAAGTGATAAGGAAGTTTTGCGTCCGTAGTGGTGATGGTCACACAGATACTGTGAATGTATTTGATGGCACTGAATTGTACACTTACAGACATAAAATGCTAAATATGTGTATTTTACCACAATAAAAAGAAGTACATTTGATAACTTTTAAACAGAAGGAACATTTGGGACACTGTGTCTATCACACCTGGTCACAGGCTCAGCGTGCCACCCAGGTCTCCTGGACCCACACCTTGGACACCATCCCTGGGCAGGAGGGAGGGCGGGCACCACCCAGAGCATTGCTGTCCCTGTGGGTGAGGGAGGTGGGTCTTCAGGGACCACAAAAGCAATTCCAGAAACTGTCCCAGCCTTGGTGTTCCGTATAGGAAAAAAAATGAGAAGTAAGATGACCTTGTAAAGGACGTCATGAAACAAGGGAAGGTGACGATCAGTGTTTCCACCAGGATGCTTGTCATTCACCCCAACGAATAAGTTTGTGTGTCGTCTTCTTCTGGACGGGGAACTTCCCAGCTCCACTGGCTCTAACCTTGTGTCCTCTTTGCAGTCAGTGTGTTCCAAATCTTGTGAATAGTCTTCTAGAAAGGGAGAAAATGGCAGTATCTTTAAAAAATCTTCGTTAAATGTTAGTTTGCATGCTAATAGATAAGGTACTTAGTATTTAAAGGAGTCGTTAATTATCAAAGCGTTTTTTATTCTGTTACAGCCTGGATTTTTCTTCTAATTCAAGTTACCCTTGAAATTAATGTGGTAGATCGATAAGATTTTCATCTGTGAATACTATCTGAAGAATTCAATCTGTTGTAATTTAGATAAAATGTATCAGCTAAGTTCTGTAGCACGAAGTTTTACATTCCTGCTAGTTTTTGAAATATACTGTAGAGATTTTCCTCATGGTAGTGGGAACATATGAGAGAGAGATATGATTACATCAATCAGTTATTTGAACAAAGACTGGGTATAGCTTACATATGATTTTGTAATAATCCCTATTTCCAAGGAAAAATATTTGCACAATACTTAGTCACTGTGTCATTTGTAGATAAAGGTTATGCGGGCTTCCCTGGTGGCGCAGTGGTTGAGAGTCCGCCTGCCGATGCAGGGGACGCGGGTTCGTGCCCTGGTCTGGGAAGATCCCTACATGCCGCGGAGCGGCTGGGCCCGTGAGCCGTGGCCGCTGAGCCTGCGCATCCGGAGCCTGTGCTCCGCAACAGGAGAGGCCACAGCAGTGAGAGGCCCACATTGGTTATGAGTTGGTCTTTGTTTTTATTGAAACATAGATTCTGTGTGTAAATGTGGATTTTATGTATATCTTCTCCATGTGTATGACAGGTGTCTGAAATCAGTCAACTTGAGCACAAATGAGTTTTCTATATTAAACATTGAATTTCATTTGAACCTAGTTTGATCCCACACCTTCATCCTCTTTTGCCTACAGTGAGCAGAGCCCAGTAGCCAGAGACAGCCTCGTCCTGCCCCTGTCCTGTGCGGCCCAGAATTTCCTGAGCCAGGTCAGTTACTGGGGTGCCACCTGACCCTAACCTGTCCCCAGCTCACTGACACTGCCCGGCCCAGGGACAGACGGGGTTGGATCTTTGCTGGGAGATGGGGAGGGGGGATAACTCAGGACCAGAGGGATAAAGGGGGTTCAGAGACTTGGCTGTGCTATGGCCTGTCACCCTTTCTGGGAAGACACGTGTGCGGGGTGAACGCAAAGCCCACATGGAGCCCGGGATGGAGGGTCACAGGGGGTCCCGATGTCCCCCGTGGGTGCTGAGAGCTCACAGTACAGCCAGGAGATGGTTCCGCGCGGGTGAGATGTGTGTTGCAGAGGGGAAGGATGGGAGCTTGAGTGCCTGTTGGTGACCCCGCACTGCTGTCGTCGGCCCCAGAGCTGAGGCTGAGGGGCACCTCCAAGAGGACCGCATGTGCTTCTTTGGACGAGCCGTGCAGACGGCCTGTGGTGCGGGCGGGAGCGCACTCTCATTACTGTACAGCTCTGTGTGAACGCGAGTCCTTAAGCTGGCTGGTTAAAAGGGAAGTTGGTGCTTTAGTAACAAGTACAGCTCCCCAGATAGGGCTTCATTTGTGGGTGAGAGAGCAGGACTGTGTGTGTGCAGGTTCTGGATCTGGCTCGGCGATGTGTACCCTCCAGCCTGGCCAGCATTTAAGCCAAAGGTTCGAGACCTTGACATCTTGAACCATTGTGTGAGCAGTTCGACATCCAAGGGTAAAAAAATTCAGTGTAAGAGTGGGTGAAAGCGGGTGTATCCTGCAGGACCTTTCTCTGTGAAGTAGAGTCACCTGTGCTGACTGGAGGGGCCCTCGACAGATACGTTTGTCTTCCAAATAGAAGCTTGAATGCCCCACTACCGAGAAATCCATCGGAAGTGAACAGAGCAAAGCAGGTGTTCCTTGATGGGTCTTTCTTCTTTCCTTTCCTTTCCTTTTCATTCATGAGTGATGGTCGTCAGGGACAGAATCTATTCCTGATGGCCCCGGCCATGCTTCGGGATTGTAATGAGGGTGAAGCAGTGACTTCCTTGGCACTTACTCACTTTCGTCCCTTTTGGAAACTCAACCAGATATTCACTCTTATTTTGATGGGTCACTAAAATGATATACACTCCTAGCAAAGACGGAAGTAGGCCATCCGCGACAGTGGGGACCTTTGAGTATTTACAAAGCATCAAGTGTAGACAGCAACTATTGGAGCATATGGGGGTTGGAACCTTTGACAGTTGAACCCCGAGTGGGGTTAGCAGCAGGACTGCAGCTGGTGCTCGTTCACTGGTCGCCTTTTGGCATGACCCCCACACCTCCTCCCACTTAAGGTTCACGAGGGGAGAGGCTCGCTCCCGCGCCACCCCTGTGCCTGCTTTGCCTTAACGGGCAGTGCCGCCCTGGGACGCTTCCCTGTCTCTGCCTCTCCTGGCTCCTGGGCCACAGAGGCCTCTTGAGCATGTCTTTGGGTGTCCTCGGCGCTGCTTTGGTAGGTGTGTGGGGGCTCCTTCCGTTATTTCTCTGCTGCGGGCGGGCGTTGTTAGGTACATGGGACCCTGCAAAGCCAGACGCCCAGCCTCAGAAAGGGTTCTCAGGCTCTTGTCGTGACCTTGCCCAGCTGTCTGTCCAGCGGCCACCAGCTACCCAGTGACACTGCTGCCTTGCCTTGTGATGACCCCCGGCTGCTCCCACACCTTTCTCCACCTCATTGTATCTTTTGGCTGCTAAGTGCCTGGCCACCACGTTGCTCTTCAGTTCACACGAGAGAGACAGGGACGGCAGGCGCCGGCACGCGCACACGGACGGAGGTGGTCTGGCCGCCCCGCAGGCTGACAGCCTGGGGTTGACTTCCCAAGGGGCCGTGAGTAGCGCTGCCTGACCCTCGGGTAGCCCCGACTGTCTCGTCAGTTCGCACGGTGTCCCCATCACAGAGGAGGAGACGGGGCCAGAGTGGTTGCCGGCTCTGCTTTGCTCTCTGCAGGCCCAGCTCTGTCCCCGGTCCCCTGGGGAAGGCGTGTTCCCCAATCTAACTTAAGCGCCGCAGCCGGGGACTGATGCCGAGTGGGATCTCCCTTCAGGTTTCCCACAAAGGTTTTCTCCAGCTTCCTAATAGGATGCAATGTTTCTGTCACCTGCAGTGAGGATGGGACCCTGTTAGGAGGATGCTGTAGCAGATGGAGCGTGATTCTGGCACATGCCCACCTTTCCCGCCTGCCTTATGGCTTCAGCCCCGAGCACCCCATTGGAGGGAGGGCCCACTCCACCCTTGTGGCTGCAGCAGGTTTCCTGTGCCAAGTCATCAGGCTGGAGACCACCGCGGCCACACGGTGTGACCTGGGGCAGCCCCTGGGCGCCACCCCTGGGCGTGGCTCACGCACCAGAGACACTGGTGTCAGTGCCCTGGCTCCATACTCTGTTTATAACACTAGAAAACAAAGAAAACCCCCTGCTCTGGGAAATCTACCATCTTCCTTTTGAAAGCGTTCCACTCTGTTTACTTCTTAACAGATGAAATATGTAAAGATATCTTCTAAATTTTAAAGTACCAAACACACATGGAAAAAAGGCCAAGCGTGTATCATATCAGCTTGTGTGCTTTGTTGAGGATCATAGCTTGGCGCGTGGTCTGTTCGGCAGGGAGATCCTGCCCGATTCTTTTTCTCCTGTTACTGACTGTCCGATGCTCCACCTGAGGCCGTGCTGACTGACAGGTCACTATGATGTCATCTTTCTGTAAGCCCTGGACTGCTATAAATTATGTTTTAAATGTTGTAATTAAGATTTTGAGACTACTAAACTGTCTTTGAGGGGAAGAACCTGTCCCCTTCTCCAGAGAGATAATTAATTCTTAGAGTATATGGGTTTTTGAAGAATTTACTGTAAGATAAAAGACTGGTATTTTATTCTTGCATTTATTAGTATTTAATCAAATGGAAAGTGCACTTTTGGTCTGGGAATCTTGGCTTCAGCCACAGGATTAGACTGAATTATTGTTTGAAGAGTAAAAGGTATAGAATTATATGTTCAAGTTATCAAGCCACTGATAGGTTTTGGGCATAATGTAGCTAATTTAGAACATAAAATTTCTTGCCTTGGGTTAATGGTTCAGAAGCGGCGCACATGTCAGTGGCTGCTTGGCCTTGCGGTGAGGATGGCGTCTGTCCCTCCAGGAGCCTTGTGCCGTCAAGGCTGGCTCGTTCCCAGCCGCCGGAGCGTATCTGGAACACAAGGCTCTTCCATTTTGGGATATAAGTCATCAATCACACCGTGCTTCTCACCCGAGAATCGTTTACCGCAGAAACAGAGTGCAGCTGACTCTTTATTAGGGATAAAGGGGACCTAATCCTGTGGTTCTTAGTGGTGGCCAGGCTTAGCACTCCTGCAGACTAGTGGCTGGTCTTTCTAAGCCAGTACGTAAGAAATTCCAGAAGACTTTGGTAACCACATCTTGCTTGAGGTTGCGGTGTCAAAGACAAGCGGGTGAGCGTGTGGGAATCAGCGTGGTCTTGTGATTTGTTCGTTAGCAGGTGGGAGAGAAGGATCCAGCACCACCAAACCTGGGACAGGCTGATAATCACTTACGTGCGCTGAGGTCAGGAGGTGGCAAACTTTTCCTAAAACGGACTGGATGGTAAATAGTTCTGGCTTTGCAGGCTGTGTGGTCTCGTCACAACTACAGCTGACCCTTGAACAACATCGGGGTTAGGGGCACCAAGCCCCCTTCCCCCTGCACCCAGTTGAAAATCTGGGTATAACTTACGGTCAGCCCTCCGTATTTGTGGTTCTGCGTCTGCGGATTCAACCAACCGAGGGTCGTGTAGTCCTATAGCATTTACTGTTGGAAAATAATCCGTGTATAAGTGGACTCTGATGGTTCAAACCTGTGTTTTTCAAGGGTCAGCTGTACTCACGAGAACTGCCGTTGACAATACAGAATGAGCCTGGCTACATTTTAGTGAAACTGTATTTATAGACTCTGAAATTTGAATTTCGTATCGCATGTACGAAATTCGTATCACATTTCGTAACACACGTCATGAAGTGTTTTTCTTCGGACTTCTTCTAACCGTTTAAAAGTGCCCTGCATCCCACCAACCCCGATCATTGTCAGGTGCTCAGGTACCCAAGCTCTTCACCCACAGGTGTCCCTACTCTTCAATCTCAGCGCTTCTTGCCCTTGAGCACCTTGCTGAATTTGCAGAATACACCCAGGGAAATACTGATGAAGCTGCGAGGGGAGGAACGGGTTGCATCTGGGCCAGTGGATCCTGGCAGCCCCCTTGCTTCGGGCAGGGACGTTTCTGTAGGTCTCCCCGAAAGCCACGGTTGATTCCCATTCCAGGTGTGGGGATGCCTTCCTGGCCATTTGTCGGAGCCCTCTCTGAGGATTTCGGTGGAGCCTGCTATGGAATCTGGATCTAACTGTATTCACTGTGCTGTTTGAATCAGTGCAAACAGGGAGTGGGGTGTTGAACCTGGAGACGGCATTATGGTGAGTCCCCCTGGTAAGCTAATTATGTCACCGACACAGAAAGCACACGTTTTTAACGTAGACGTTCCATGCGTCCACAGGTGGAAATCTTTATTAACTGGGACTTCTTTCTCGTGGCTTGATTGCAGACAAGCCTGTGCTACTTTGATACTCCAGGGCTCTTCTGGGGTGCGGAGGATTTTGAATCACATCTTGCTGTCAGAGAGAGAAGTGTGAGAGCTTTTCACTTCGCCAGCGACCCTGCGCATCCCGGAAGTGTGCTCTCCTTCAGCTCTGCGGCGACCGCGGCCAGGGGCCCGTCCTGTCCTGCTCCGCAGCGGGCGTCTCTTGGCTTTGGCTGCCCTGCCAAATTGAAGAAGGCGTTTCTCTCAGATCTTCCCACCTGTTCTCCCACGTTACTGATTCTCTAAGAAAGCTAAACTGTGCCCAGCTGTAGAGGTGGATAAAGGATGAGGTTGTTTTCTGCCGTGACTACGGAAGCTGATGCTTCCCAAGACACGGCAGTTCCAAGAACTG